TTTCTTTAAATCGTTCATTGTTTAGATGAATTAGGAGATAAACACAATCACACAAATGTGAAGATATGGTGTCTGATTTAATGTTGTTGTTTTCCAGAGACTTTAGTATACAATGGCAAAAGAAACCAGGCGATGCTGGTAGATATTTATTGGACTTGCTGTATCACATTTCCTGCCTGTAGACTGAGTAAATTATTTTTCATTTGGTATCGGAGATAAAAAGCTGATCTCCAAGTTAGTCTGTCACATCTTTCTTGAGTTCTTTTGAAGACCTAAATACACCAAATGATGAGAAACTGTGTTTGACATGTTCATTTAGAGTCTGAAGACTAACTCCTTTCTAATTTGCTTTTCCAAACAGCTAATAAGAGTGAATGTTTAATAGACAGCTCTAATTCCAATTCAACAGGTTAAATCAGGGTCTGACAGTGTAAAAAGTGCAATTCAAACCAGAAAGACTCCCTTTGGCACTTACAGTTGTCTGTATTCACGCCCAAAATGTCTGATGTTTGTTCACATGTGGAGCACATTTGGAGGCTGTCATTACATGTTAACAACATTTACTAGACACTTTAATGAGTTTATTCTGATCTGATTTGGTTACACAGGGGGAACTCTGTGCAGCTTGATGCCACTCCCTCAAATTGCTCATATTAGAAGGAATACTGTTAATTTTATTTGATTACACAAAGATAATTTGGGTAATTGGAAAAAGAAGCCCTCTAATTCCTGAACTAGATTGACCTTTGGTGTATTTAGTTAAATGAGAGCTTCATGTTTCTTCTACACTTAATGGAATCAATATAGTAACTTTCCATAAATTATAGTAAATAAATTGATGCAAAGTGCCTTTTTTTCATAAACACCTACAGTAGGTGCTGTTTTGGTTAAATGCTTGGGTAAATTAAGCCTGAGACCCCTTAAATAGCAATTTACGAACTTCTCGTTTATGGTTTACAATGTTGAGATGTACTCCATTTGTGTTGCTGAGGTGAAATTAGCAGATTCTCAGGAAATATGTTGTGAAATTATAATGTTCAGTCTGTGAATAAAGATGTTAACTGTGTAGTGACTGGCAAACCCTGACAGCTGTGGTTGCGTCAACACTTGTTACAGTGCTGTGAAGTATACCACCCACTGCAGTTTTTTGTCACACTCAAACATTTCAGAACATTAAACAGACTTTAATTCTGGACAAGACAACCAGAGTTAGTAGAAAAAAAAAGTCTTTCATGTGGTGATTTTGCTTTAGTGCCAAAAAGTTAGCTAGACCAACCAGGTCCTATAGTTCCATTACAAAATGACTATGATCGACTGCATTTTTAAAAGTTCTTCTCATTTCCACTGACCACATCCAGACCCGATTTCTGCCAGACCAACAAAATAAAAAAAAATAAAATAAAAAACTTAAAATAGAACCTGTTTGACAGCATGAAGTTGGCTAAATTATATAAAAAAGTAACAAATGATGATTTGAGATTAATACATTTGGGACATTACAGTGAGAGTTGTTATCCACCAGTAGGAATAAAAGAAGAATAAAGAGAAAATAATGCATGCCGATGAAGTGGCCTAGTCAAAATCCAGATTGATATGCTGTGCTATGACTGTTCCTGCTTAAAAAACACACACTATGTGTGAATCATGACTATTGAAAGGATTTTCTCCCCACTAATGTTGGATTTGTTGCTGCAAAGGGTGGGACAACCAGTTATTAGGTGCAGGGGTGTCAAACTCCAGTCCTCAAGGGCCGCTGTCCTGCAACTTTTAGATGTGCCTCTGCTGCACCACACCTGAAAAGAATAATTAGGTCATTAGCAAGGCTCAGGAGAACCAATCTACACAGGGAGGAGGTAATTAAGCCATTTCATTCCACTGTTTTTTACCTGTGGCACATCTAAACACTGCAGGACAGCGGCCCTTGAGGACTGGAGTTTGACACCCCTGGTTTAGGGGGATGGTTACTGTTTTACTTCGGCCAGATTGGCTTGAATAGTTTTTTTTATTCTCTTTAATATGTATGCGCATTTTGTATTTACTCTGGCTATCTTCTAATATAAAACTTCGTTTGATCTGGAATATTTAACGGTGACAATAAAAAATAAAAACGGGATAAATCCGTAATGGAGCAAATTTTATTTCCAGACAATCCCTTCATATGGCTGTAGCTAATTAAAGTAAGACCTAATTTCCTTCAAGTTGTTTTACAAAGGCATCGTGGTCTCTGATTTTTATGGTGATAGTTCCAGTGAGTGAGTTAAATACACCATACAGATGCTCAAGTTAAATTAGCTGAGTGCAGGCAGCTCTGCTTTTTAAAAGCGGTGGAGTTATAGTCACTCTGAAGCAACATTTATCTTCTCTCTGTCTCAGAAGTCAGATTATTACATGCGCCACCTGGTATGAGTTTCCAATAAAACAGAGCTATTCAACGATATGTTTCACATTCAACCGCAGTTTTGCTATGGCGATATTAGAAGTTGTTTTGTGAAATATGCATACTGGTACAGTTTCGTTTGCCCCAAATTGCCTTTCAAGTTGTGGGATATTGCTTTGTGTTTTCATTTTTGAGGATCTGCACGGACCCATGATCAGATTTGATTAAGGAGGGACCCAGAGCTAATTTGATTAGATTATTTAGTGGAAATATGTGTTTGGTAATAAACATTTATTACGGTGAAAAAGTTTACTTTAATAAGCACGCAAAGCCCAGAGGACATGGAAGCTTAATTGTTAGGTGTTTAATTGCAATGTTGCGATGCTGCCAAGATAATGGGCAAGGAAAGGCCCTCAAGTCAAGGCAATTAACCAAACAGTGGTTTGATTGTTGTTAAATTGATTAGAAAATGTTTAAGTACTCTATCTGTAAATTAGCTATTGTTTCACGCAGTTTGTGACTGCCAGAGAATGCTGGGCTTAATGACACATACGCTCTGAGTTAGTAATGGGAAAAGTTGTCGCTCAGGTCAGGTTGCTATTGTGAGTAGCAATGCAGCTTTTATTAAATGCATCTAATTGTGCCTTGGTGGAACTGATGTTTGTCTGGATTAGCGAGGCCCAGGTGGTTACCTGGCTCCCACAGGGAAGAAGGAATCATCTGGATATGATGCATGGGGAAGACGACATGTCTGATACCTGGAAGTGAAATAAAACTTCAGGGAACGTCTGAAACCTGCGCAAGATCGACGCGTTTTGTTGTGTTTAATAGCTTCATCTTCCAACTGTTGATCAGCTGTTGCAGACGAAGCCGGTGACGGATAGGGCACTTTGTGTGTCTGCACGGAGTTGCCCAGAGCGACAGCTGATGGAGACTCGCAGAGGGAGGTGCAGGTTAAAGCCAATTTGTTTCCTCGCCCCAGTATCTGTATTTTCCTGATTAGAATAGTGGAGAAATCCACGGCTGGAGGCAGGCTTTATGACCATCACAGCCCCACATCTCCTGACTCATTAGTACTTTACAGCCCAGCACCACAACATATGGCAGAGTTGTTACCGATTCCCATTTGAGGTGTGTTTCAAACGGCCGTCCCTTGCTGAGCCACAACCCTGTGGCAGCGCGCTTTCTTATTGTGTTTGAGGAGAAAATAAACATCTGTTCCAACTGAAGTTTTGGTGTAAATCTTTTCGGTCCCTGTCACCACAAAAGATGCTCTTCAGAACCACTGCGAAGAAATTCATCTTTGTGCCTTGGCCGTGTGTGCTGCTTTTTAAAAAATGTTTTATTTGTTTCACACACATCTTCGTTTAAGCAAAACTAACTTGCATGTTTCAAGTGGAAAAACCAACGTGGGTGTTGGGTGTCAGGTGGTTTTTCTTTTATTCATTTATATTTGTATGTAGGCATGGGCCATTATGAGATTTTGATGATGGAAATACCAGAATTTAACAACATTAAATAAGAAAATTTATTTAAAACATGATCAAGCTACTTTTTTTTTTAATAAAAAAAAAAAAAAATCATTATCTGGTGCATCATGTTAAAAGCATTGGTTTGCTTTGATAACTGGCCCGTGTCTGCATATGTGGGTCTTGTGTCTCAATTGTGTATCCCTAGGGGTCATACACATTACTTTTTAATTCACTTTATTATTTAGGATTATTGAGAATCTGTGAATCATTCATTCTTTTCTTTTTCAATTGACAACCAAACATCAATAAAAAGGTTTTTAAATCGGATACAAGAATCACCCCAAAAAACAAAAAAAGATCTTGTTTTTCATCTTTTAAATTTTAGTTTTGGCTTAAAAAAAAAAAAAAAAATCTAAAATGAAAAACGGGTTACAGGAACAAATTTTATTTCAATAGGTCAATGCTTGTTTTCCCAAGACTTGGAAATTGCACTTTGTGAAAAAGTGTGTTATCAACGTCAGGTGTTATGTTACATATTTGACATGAAATGGAGCAAATACTAAATATTTTGGCTCCCAAAGCATTGAAATAGAAGTTAAAAGTCCACCATATTTTAAATGATCTCTAATTGTAGAAATCTGCAACCAAAACATTTGACAAAATTCCACATTTAACAAATGTCTTTTTCACCATATTTCACCCAGAACTCAGTCTTCTGATGCTAATTTTCGAGCACGGTAGGATGTTGATCTGCTGTAGTGTTCAGGAAATTTCTGAATTCATAATTTTTTTTCTCTTCGCCCCCCCTGCCCCCCCCTTTCTTCCTCCAGATGACAATTTTTTTTTATTTTGGTTGTCAGTTAAAAATGGAAAGCAGAAAAAATATACACAGATTATTATTAGGTGCCTAATTCACATGTACAGTACTCAGAATTTGCTCACATGTCTAAAACATAAAAGGAGGCACAACTCCTTGCTGTGAGTCTAAGACATTTAGCATTTGTGCTTCAAGGGGCAAATTCTGAAAAAGAAAAAAAAAAAAAAAAACTGCAGATGTGAAGACACCTAAGGTGGGACAGGTTCTGTGGGTTTGGCAGTGTTTTTATTTTCTGTTAGATATCGTTTTTCATACTGTGCCCTCCCTCCAACAGAACATACACATAAAAACACTGGCTGATGATATGGTAAGGTGCTTGGTTTCATTTTGCTGTGACTCGCTTTGTTTCACACATTTTTCACTTGTTTTTCCGTGATTGCATGAAACTTTTAATATACACCTGTGGATGGATCAAATGTGCCCAACTCCAACTAGAATAGTAAAAGCCTTTCACTATTGAACAACTAGTTTATAGTAGTATTATTATTATTATAGTAGTTTGTAGCTGTATTATTTTCATAGTATATTACCAAGATCATTTTAAGGACTAGGTTAACAAAGCAAACTGCAGTGTTCGGTTGTTAAAATACTCTTATCGACAGATGTGGGGAAAAAAAAAAATGTGTAAATAGGCTTAAAATTAATTTCATTTGTTGCAGTAGTATAATCCCACACAGAAAGTAGTAGGAAAATTATAACTTTGATTTGAATACTTTATTCAGTAGGGATCAAATATTAACTTTATAAAGAAGAAGAATATATCTTCCAAGTTTTTGTCAACCTACAGTATAATATTTTTGGGCTATAAATAGAAATATGACTTTCTTAAGGGCTGTTTTATTTTCTTCAACATGGAAAAAAACTGTAAGGAAACATGCCGTTCAAGTGAGTTTAGTGTGCATAAACTATCGTAAACTATACTGATTAGTCTAATTGTATCCATTATTAGACTGAAGAAGGATTTCTTCCCTCAATAAATTACCTTAAAGGATTAATTTCTTTATACACTGCTCAAAAAAATAAAGGGAACACTCAAATAACACATCTTAGATCTGAATGAATGAAATATTCTCATTGAATACTTTGTTCTGTACAAAGTTGAATGTGCTGACAACAAAATCATCAATGGAAATCAAATTTATTAACCAATGGAGGCCTGGATTTGGAGCCACACACAAAATTAAAGTGAAATGTTCCCTTTATTTTTTGAGCAGTATATTTCTCAATATCAACAAAATTTGTAAATACTGAGTTTGAGAATTATTTTGAGTCAAACTAGGATCAGTTTACTAATGATTTGACTAAATAAAAAAAAAGAACCTAAAGATGGCTTTAAAACTGAATGTGCAAATCTAACTTCAATCAAACATTTACCGCTCACTCAGGAGTTTGAAAAAAGGGGGTTGCAGACTAGTATTTTGAATTGTCATTACCACAATTAATAAATAAAATATTTCATATAATCTGAGCTCGAAAAATAATGTTTATCTCCCACCATACTCAGTGAAGAGGAGGTGAAAAAAAAAAAAAAGCTCACTGGAGAAAACCTGTAACAACAAGACGAAACTTGGCAGCATAGTGACACACATTGAGGCTCACGTTTAAATGTTTACCAGTGAGGAAACTGACTATAGTCAACAACCTCCTTGATTTCTTACTGTGACGTCGCTAGAATTTAACTGATTTATTATCCGTCAGTGTTTAACAAATACTATCAACATGCAGTACATTTGATCCATTGAGTCATACTTGATTCTCATCTCATTTGCATGACAGCCCCTACCCCTACTTACCCGTTACTAAGTAAACCTAACGATCATCCTCCCTGCATGCGTCCCATGTATGTTTTCTACTCGGAGCTAAACTTTCCCAGATTTATTAATTTAATCAACTGATGAATTCAATAAGGAATGTTTTTAATCGCACACAAATTGTATTTGATATTTTGTCCTTGACTTATTAAAATAGCATCAGTGCAAAACAGGTAATTATAACAAATGTGACGGTAAGTAAAGTCCTAAGATGTTTAATGGAGTCTTATTATATTTGGTGATATTTGAAAATTGCTTTGCATTTCTTTTCAATGTTAAGAATTACAAATTGGACAGTTTTATGTCGGGTTTTAAAGTTTTTGATTTTCCTTTCATTTTGCCACTGCATCTTTTAGCTGTCCTGACAATAGGGGTGTTTTATGTTTACAGTAAATTGTGCACAACCAAGTCCTGCGAGCAGGACATTTTCCAACTTGCTAAAGCACACAAAGCTTTTATTCCAGGCGGCCTAGACCATTTTTTTCTCCCATTACACAGACTGTTGTTAAAATATTTTCATTTCTCAAATGTGGTTTTCTTTCAGCGTGATCGTATAACAAGTTTCAGGAAAACTGGCACAAAGAAGGAGAAGCCTTTTATTCAGCACCCGACTGATCCCATCTCTACCCAAGCCGAACTCCCTCAGCCGCAGCCTTTCTTTGACGAGAGATCCATGAACCTCTCGGAAAAAGAAATAGTTGACCTCTTTGAGAAGATGATGGTAAGCTTTGTTTTCTTTCTTCTCCTTCGTTTAACCTAAGTTCACTCAATAATAGAATCCAATTTAGAATGCTTCATACAAACAATATGTAGAAGCTCATTTTGAAAAGATGTATTAGTGTCTTAGTATTCATGGTTCCTTGTTTTACTGCAGAGGACATTTGGTGTGTAAAACAGTTTTAATATGAACATGATTGACCTTTTTGAGTTGGCATAGCTTTTTCCGACTGCTTAGAGGCAAAAGTGAAAATATGGCCTAGAGGTCTCCCTAATGATCGATCAAGGTTAAACTGATGCTGAAAAGTATCATTGTGTATTTCTGAAAATAGTGGATTTACATAGTCAACCCTAACCCATTTAATGTAAAATCAATATTACAGAGGATCAGAAAACTTTCAGATCTTGATTATAATCCTTGACCTTAAAGCAGCTGCCCAAACTTTTTGCCACGACGGCCAAAATTGTCTTGTTAAAAGCTCATGTAAACCACAAAAATATGTATATATTTTTTTTCAAAATAGAATTTTTTTTTATTTTTTTTATTCGCTCAATAACAAAATAACCATGCAAGACTCAGGTCAGCATAACTGCCTGAGTTTTGTGATTTCTTATTATGCATGTGAGTAAAAGTTGTTGATGTTTGTGCTTTCTATTTACTATCAAACTAAGATGAATGCAGTAGCCTGGTTAATGCATGAGTAATAATTTATGTCTTGCCTAACCAGCAGATGATACCACTGCAGACCCCAAATATCCAAAAACCAGCTGCCACAGAGACAGTTTCTTCCCTCAGGCTGTTAATCCAATTGACACAATGAACACCGTACAGCCAGGGCAGTTAGCTACTGTGTGTAAAACAAGATATGCATATTTGCACTATATTTTAGCATAAAAATTAGCAGTGCATATATTATTATATATACATAGTGTTGTATTATTTTTATGCTCCTCAAAGTTTGTATATATATTATATTAGATGTCTATTTAAAGTCAAATTCCTTATTTATGCACATAAACTTGGCAAATTAAGCATATTCTGATAACATTTTACATATATTAAGACTTTATTTTTCTGTAAAAATGTTGGCCTTAAAAAAAAAAAAAAAAAATGTCACACTACTAAATCTGCTTGCAGGTTAAATTTACCATAACGTTTAAGAGTGCATATATTACCCAAAGGCTAAAGCTCAGATGATTGAAAAGTTCATTAAAAAATATAAATCAAAGTGTGATGCAAGTTGAGATAAATGTGGTTAAACACATGAACACAGATTAACTAACTAATTCCATTTTTCCTGTATGGTTTCCAGTTTGGGAAATTAGTCAGTGTGAGTTTCCAGGCATGCCATGATGCTATTTAGTGGGCAGGAGACATCGTCAGTGATGGAGAGAGAAGTTTTGAAAATATCCTTCACTGCATACAGATGGTTCGCCTCCACCCAGGTCTGAGCCGGCTTAATCAATTTCTGGAGTCTGTTGGTGTTGTACGCCCTCAGGCTGTTTTCCCAGTAGTCCTCGGTGTGGTAAATGGCACAGGCCAAGACAGATTCATGCAATGCTGGCAGTCCGTGTTGTTTTTTTTGTTTTTTTCCAACCCCTTCACCCAAACATCAAAAGGCAGGAGATTCCTCAGGAGGCGGGACAGAACAGTAACTCTGTTCTGTTTTTCAGAAAGCTGTATTGTATTTTCCATTCTTTTTTGCTGTCCAAAACAGAGATTGATGCATGTGTCATCAAGGAGTTAAATGACTATTAATTTGTGACTTGTGGAAGTCTGGAGCTGACCCCACAACTTAACCCCGGATTGAGTGGAAGATAGTGGATGGATTGATGTTAAATCGGGCAAGACAGTCACATGGTCTGAAATGATCTTTTTCCCTTTAGAAACTCTTTTCTGAACATTTTTCCCTAAATAGTGAAGTCAAGCCCTTGCTTTCCTCTGTTTTTGAGAGCCTCTGACAAGTGTCTTTGTATTTTTACACATTCCCCAGAACACTGAAATGACTTTCCCCTTCTCTGCCGTCTTGTATCATTTTCATTCATTTAAAGCAAAATGTCCATAGTTAATATTTATTAGAAATTATTGTTGTTATATGTAAGAGATCGACAATTAATCAGTAACTGAACTCTGATCCAGAAAGGCACAGTATTGTGGGGGATGTAGGCAGATTAAAGCCTTTAGCCACTCAACCCCTCACAGCCAGCTAAGCAAGGTGGGTGGCATCAACTAACCCACACTTTGGTTACCTAGCAACTCACTCACTCTAAGGTTACCACCAACAATCTGGTGAGTAACTTGATCAGTAGCAGGTTAAGGTTTTGCCAGTGTGTCACATAACTGCTTAAAAATAAACAATGTGGAGTGAACCTTGTGGATAAAACAGGAAAAGTCAAGCCTCCAGTTTGGCAATGACTCAGATATTTAAAACGACAACAACAAAAAAAACAAGTCAATAATTATTGATGCCGTCTGTGAAACACTAATTTCAAAAGTTCATGTAATATTTGTGGCTCTAAAGTTTTATTTAGCTAGACCGGGGTCAAGAAATGTCTGGTTTAGGCTTTTATTTCTCACCACAGAAGTATTTTGCAGTATAATATGTTAAAGCTACCACAAAACTCATAGAACATATGCTACATTTATCTGAATTGGTTATGTGGAGCCTTTATACTTCTTGATCTTATCAGTCGGCAATCCTTGCTGGGGCCGCTTGATGAGACCCGTTTTCTCCTTATTCAAAATTACTTTTAAAAATTCATCACATAGAACATGTGCACCTAAGCAGTGTCTACATTTACACCAAACCAACCTGACGCTGCTTAACAACACCTAACCTCTGAATGCTTCCAGGAACCTGAATAACGCTTCATAAAAATGGATTTCTTTTTTTCTTTTTAGTACAGCTACAAATTGCAATCATTTTGACAACTTGTTGTCAAAAGGCAAAGACTTTCTGTTTCTCTTTCGGCGTCGCAACGTCCTTGGTCCAAAAAAAATGAAATGACACCAGTGACTCCTTTTACAGCTTGTACACTTTCTTTAATACAAAGTACAATTGGACTGAGTCATGTTTTAACCTTTGACCATCACGTAATCAGTTGCTTCTATTCCCACAATGCATGGTTGTCCTTCACGGGGTAGACTTTTGCTTGACAGTTTCTGGAAGTACAGAAAGTCCAGTTTCTGTACTTCCACCTTGAACTGTAATCCTTTTATAAACAGTTTGTTATACTTTGTTGGGTTGTTTTAAACCCAAACCACTTCAGCGCTTTTAAAGTAGTTTTTTTTTTCTTTTAGTTATTAAATCATGAATGGAAGCAAACATGCTTTTGTAACGTCCAGATGCATTTTTAATGCACTGAAGACAATTCTAGGGTTGCTACTGATGCACATTTCAAAATAGTCATACCAGTGTTTTGTTGGGTGTTTAATGATGCATCACTGACATGCTCTTTATCTGATTGTAATACAATCACCTGCTCACTTCTACATTTGATCCAGTTGTTCTGTCTGTCTGTGCCCAGCATAAAAAGAGGATCTTCTGTGCTTTTATGTATCATGAAGCTATCCATTCACTTGTCTGCCATTGTGCAGCCCCTACAATGCTGCCTCCAGAGTGTGTCATTCAGACTGCCATCCACATTCTCTTCTTTCTTCATAGCTGTAGAAGCCTGAGTGTTGCTACTGTCAGCTCTTGTCCTCAGGCTTTCACCATCGTCTCTTTTGTGCTTCCTCGTCTCAGTGCTTGAACTCCAACCAGTAATGTCCCCAAAATTGAGTCAGGTTTTATCGTTTGGGTTGTCTGACATGCATTGCCTTGCTAAAGTGTTACAACCCCTTGAACTTTTTCACATTTTGTTGAGTTGCAGAAACAAACTTCAGTGTATTTTATTGGAAGTATTTTTTTTTATGTGATAGGCAAACCAGAAATGGGACCTCAGGAAAATGATGCATAGTTTTTCCACTTTTGTGACAAATAGAAAATAATCAAAATGGATGGCATGCATTAACTTTGATGCCCCTAAATTCGATGCTCTCCTTCCTTATTGATTGAGTTTGAGTTACAGTGAACCATTATATTTGTGTTTAACTTGAATCCAAATTATTTGCTATTTTTTTTGTAGAGCATATTTAAATTATTTGACAGAAAATTAAGCTTAGGATTTCTACATGACACGTTATTGGCTGGTGTTTGCAAAGTAGTCGGTCCAGATGTGCCATTTATTTTTCTTTCTACTGATTGGCTATACTTTTGAGAAAGGAGATGAAGTCTGTAGATGCTAACTTCTGCAGCAGAGCAAAAAACCCACACTGTACATATTAATTCACATTTAGGTACATTTGATGTTTGAGTTATTACAATAGGCACTTGTAAGGTGTAAGATTGAGTTTTTGTAACTATTTCTTAATAAACTGAAGTGGGTTTAAATCAGAGAAACAACTGGAACAATTCCACCTCATTTTTCTTAAAATACCTTTTGAAAGGCGCTCACATTCATATGTGAATATCCAGAGGAACTTTGGAACACAGTCAACAAGTTATGATATGCAGCCTAAGACAACTGCAGAGCTTTACGAACTCAGTTGCATATTTGCATGAGCACTGCAGTAAAACAACTCTCCAAAGACTGCAAGCGATTGCTAATCTCATTCTGCATTGAGAGTTTCAAATAGACTGCGTGCAGGGCCCATATTTTCTTACAGCAGTAATGACTCACAGCACCAAATGCAATCATTTGACACCGTCATGTTTGTGTTACCATTGTTCTTGGGAACAAAAGGAGCTTTGGCACAAGGATTTGGATTTAACATGACTTTTTTTTTTGTTTGTTTGTTTTTATGCCATTTGTTGACAGATTTAGTATAAGTCATTTTAAATCTGGTTTTCATTTGGGCAGATTTAAAATGCTAAATATCAGACTTACTTCTCCCTCGTCCCTGGGGTCAGATGTCACTTTTGTGCATTTCTGGCCTTGTGTGCTGCAGGACTGAAATGTGAA